AAAGAAAAGATAAAACTATTCCTATTTATATGAAAAAACTGCCACCAACAGTAAGAGAATTTAGTCAAATTTCAGGTTATAATATCAACACTTAAAAATGAGCTTTCAGCTGTACAAATAAAAACCAGTTAGTAGAGGTAATGAAAGAGAAGAGTCCACTTATGATAGTAAACAATAAAATACCTTGGCATAAATTTAACAAGAAATGTTTATCTCACATAGATTTTGGACTAAAAAAACTAAACGAAACTGAATACATAAAAACAGAGTTGGCTAGGTGCAGTGGCTCACTCACGCCTGTAATCCCAGCACTTTGTGGGGCTGAGGTGGGCAGATTGCTTGAGTCCAGGAGTTCAAGACCAACCTGGGCAACACGGTGAAACCCCATCTCTACTAAAAATACAAAAAATTAGCTGGGCAAGGTGGTGCATGCCTGTAGTCCTAGCTACTCAGGAGGCTGCAGTGGGAAGATCACCTGAGCCTCGGAGATCAAGGCTGCAGTGAGCTGGAGCCACTGCACTCCAGCCTGCGCAACTGGAGTGAGATCCTTTCTTAAAAAAAAAAAAAAAAAAGCAGAATTGAACAAATGAAAGGACATACCACACTCTTGAATAAGGAGACTTACCCTAAAAATGTCAATCCTTCCTAAATTAATTTATGAATATAATGTAATCTCAATAAAAATCTCACCAGGTTTTTCTGAAGCTAGACCAGTTGATTATTAAATACCTTTGGAAGGAAAAACTAGAACCCTCATACATTGCTGGTGTGAATATAAATTGGTGAAGGCATTTTGGGAAAAAGTCTGGCAGTTCCTCAAAGTGTTAAACATAGAGTTACCACATAATGCAACAATTCCATTCTAGGTATATACCAAAGAGAAATAAAAACATACGCACATGTAAAAATTTGTACACAAATAGTGAAAAAAGCATTATCCGTAATAGCCAAGTTGTGGAAATAAGCTAAATGTCCATCAACTGATGAAAAGATAAACAAAACGTGGTATATCCATACAATGGAATACTATCCAGCAATAAAACGAATAAAGTACCAATACATGCTACAATATGATAAACCTTGAAAACATTACACTAAATGAAAAAAAAACCATAAAAGAATATTATGTGATTCCATTTATGTGAAATAACCAGAATAGACAAATCCATAGAGAGAGAAAGTAGATTAGTGATTGCCTGGGGCTGGAGTGGACGGAGAAGGGACTGGGAAACAGGAAGTGACTGCAAATGTGTAAGGGGTTTCTACTTGGGATATTGAAAAAGTTCTAAAATTAGAATGTGATGATGGTTGCAGAATTCTATAAATATACTGAGATCACTGAATTTTACACTTTAAATGAGTAAACCTTATGGTATGTGAGATATATTTCAATAAAATTGTTTTTAAAATTTCACTAGGAAGGACCAAAAAAACCCATTGGAATAACTGATGGCTATTTGGAAAAAGATATGATTGGATACATTCTTCAAGCCATATATAGGATAAATTACAAATGAACCAGCGATTTAATGTTAAAAATGAAGCCGTACAAGTATAAATGTGGGTGAATTCCTCTATAACACAGGAGCAGGGAAAACTTTATTAAGACTCAAGACCAACAGCCCAAGGGAAAAGACATTTGATTTTTGGTTACATTAAAAAAAACCCAACACCATAGTGAAATAAAAATTTCAAAATACAAAAAATATTGTAATATTAAAAATTAAAGGACCAACATACCTAATAAAATAAAGAACTTATAAAAATAGGGAAGAAAATGACCAATAATCTAATATGAAAAACTGACCTAGAGATAAACAGCTCATAAAAAATAAAATACAAGTAGTGTGTAAGCATAAGAAGAAAATGCTCAAATGTGCTTGTAATAAGAGAAATACATATGAAAACGATAACAGAATACCATTTCTCACCTATTAGTAAAAATAAAAAAACCTGACAACAACTTTGTTGGTGAGGCTACAATAAAAGAGACACCCTCATAAACTGCTGGCATGACCCTTATGGATGGGAACTGACAATATCTAGCAAAAATACATATATATTTACCTCTGAACTAGCAATCCCACTTCTAGAAATCTATTCCAAAAGTATACTGGCAAAAACATGAAAACACTTAGGCATAAGGTTATGCATTACAGCAGTATTTCTAATTACAACATAACATAACCAGTTCAAATGCTGATCAACAGGGGACTGGCTGATTAAACTAGAACATCCACAAAACAAGAGCTCTATGCAGCTGTACAAAAGAATGAAGAATATCTGTATCTACTCAAGGATAAACTATTAAGTCAAAAGCAGGAAGGGGAATACTGTTTATGCAGTAGGGTAGAAGACAGGGGAGAGGAGATTTATTTTCCTGTATATTTTTAAATTTAATGAACTAAAGAATAAATTAAATCTTTTTAAAATTGTTACTTATAAGGTAAGGAGAGGAACAAGATGGACAAGAAGGATGATACTTAGAATCTGAACTTCTTTGAATATACATTGTTTCACTGATTTTGACTTAAAGTTTATATATAATTTTTAAAATCACACTTGGGGGTAGGGAGAGCAATCTCTAAACTCTGAAAGCAAATGAATCAAATAAACCTGTGTTTTCAATTTATAACATCTGCACACAGACTATTTCACTTATCTTTTAAAAAAATAATTTGCCTTTAGCCCCCAGTTGCTGGGGAGGCTGAGGTAGGAGGATCGCTTGAGATCAGGAGGCAGAGGTTGCAGTGAGTTGAGATCATGCCACTGCACTCCAGCCTGGGCCACAGAGTAACAGCCTGTCTCAAAAATAATAATAATAATAATAAATTTGAACTTATCTATTATGATATACTCTAAGCAGAGAAAGAACTGTTTTTAAAAAAACGTTGGTACTAGCATTGATATTCTTCTTCTGAGTCTGTTGTGTATATACTCTACAATTAGAAAAGACAATATATTATTATGTTGGTGTCTTTCAGCATAGAAAAATAAAATACCCATTTAAGATCAATAAAGTAAAAATTCTAGGCTCTTGAATTTAAATTGAAAGCAACAGTATACACTCATGATTTACTGTATCTTTAAAAGCCATATATATTTCCTAGTTCTGCCCACTGAAAGAAAGAGAGGGGGCTTGAGGGTAAAATAGGTAGTAGATAATAAATAGACAGATAAATAGATAGGTAGGTAGGTAGGTAGGTAGGTAGGTAGGTAGATAGATAGATAGATAGATAGATAGAATAGATCTTTATGTACAGCTCTACAATTCCTTATGAACAATTCTAAAACCTAAAAAGCTTTAAAAAATAATGTTTGCAATTCATTTCACAGTCAACTTAAAGTGAACTGACAGGAAAAAATAGCCATATATTCATTGCAGATACATTAATTTGCTTGATTATGGGGTGTTGCCTCAAATTCTATTTGGAATATTATTTAACTTTTTAAAATTTAAACATTTTTCAGTGCCACAATATATCTGTAGCCAAGAGGTGGGATAAGAGAGTTTGTAAACTTGTATTCGCCTGGAAAGGGTCAAAACATTAAGGAAATAAAGCAAGTTACAAATTATTATGTACTGTATGGTTCCATTTTATGAACATGTGATCACTAATTAATGTGAATAATCAAATACGGGGAAAAACAAAGCTTTTTTAAAAAACAGTAGTTGTTAGACAATAGTGTCATATAGAGACTTGCACTTTAAATGTTTTATATTTCAATTTTTCCATATTTTGCTAGCATCTATATATTACTTTTTAATTTTAAAAAGTATGGTTTTATAATTAAAAACAAAGAATACTCTTTAAAATACATATTGAAATATATAGAAGTATTCTAAATGGGGGAGCAATATTGAGGTAAAAGCAAGTACTAATTCTCCTCTCTTTTAACCAAGCAAACATGGCTGACAAAACACAACTTTGCGCAATGGTTTGTTGATACAACTTCCAAAATTACATTCCTTAACGTACTGTTCTGAGCATATAATATGTGAACAGCATTTTAAATATCAACACTGTAGTGGGGAACTAACAATAACAGTAAACAGAAAACCCTGCCCTATTCTTTTTTATGCATTTTCAAACACAAATGTTCCTGGATTTCTTTTCTCCCTAAATAATTAGAATTGGATTTCATTGTGCCAGTTTCCTCTTTTGGCAAATGTAGATAATAAGTGATAATAATAACAACCACTAGAGGGTTGTTGTGAGGATGAAATGGATAACAAATATAGAAGTCTTACTTTATGAGTCCCCAGCTTTGCTAAATGCTGAATAAATATTAGCTGCTTTTATTATTATTATTATTATTATTATTATTGGTGTTCCTCTTAGACAAAAGTCTGTTCTGGTCCACTACGTTTTGGGGATCTGTGTCATGGAAGAAGTTCTGAAGTGTTCATTGTACCATTTTCTCTATGTTTTCTATATTAGCTGAGACAGCTGTGCCTCAAGTTAATTTCAGTCCGCATGTTATCTTTGTAATGAGATTATTTTGTGGGGGTGGGGGAGAAGAGTTTCATATAAAAGTTTTCATTCAAATCAAACTTCTAAAACTTGAAAATTGACTTTTTGTCTTTGTAAATGTTAGTCACTTAACACAATGTTTTGGATTCTGTGTTTATAATATATAAAATATCTTTTAGTAATATACAAACATTTCTTAATAGAAAATGTCATATAAACATAAATTGCATTGCTTTAAAATACTAGTAGTTTGATTAAACTGTAAAATGAAAAGTTATTTTATCATTTTAGCAAGAAGGGTGACTTACTCTCACTAGCATGAATACATTTTCAACATAATCATACAAAGAAAAAGTAGTAAAATACTTTAAAATACTACATCTTAAAAGCATAATGATTTAAAAAGGGATAATTTGGCACTACAGAGTTCATTCTGAAACATAATTTTGATTACAATATTATATAATTCTACCTTAATATAAAGAAGAATTTTAAGCAACATGATTTTTTATATCCATTACTTACCCTTTTTCATATGTGAATTCATCTTTCAGAGAATTAGCTGATGATTCACCAATAAAGACAGATGGAATGTCAATTTTCTTTAGTACCTCAACTGTATAAAAGAATAATAAAATTATTCTTAAAAGCCCATACTTAGTGTACAATCAACTTAACTTTCTTCATAATAGCAGCAAATGCAACTGGAAACAATTATAATCAACTTTAATTGTCTATTGCTTGATTTTCCAGATTGCAGATTTTATTCATCATCAAAATGGTTGAGAAACATAACATTTACAGTAACAAAGCTAACATTCTGCATATATACATTACCTGAATTCTCTCAATAGTCTATGAGATGCAGATATAATTTTTATTGTTAATATTTCCATTTGATTCTTCCTCTCTAGACATAATTTGTTAGAGAAGAAAGATGAGGAAGAAATTTTAGGTTTTCTTCCCACACATAACTTAATTCCTAAATGAAAAAGAGAAAAAGCTTCTTTTACATACCCATTTCCACGAGAGGTATAAGCCAGAGAATATAAGAAAAGACAACTTCACAACAATCTAAAAAGTAATGCCACACATCTCTGGCTTTACAGACTGAAAGGCTGACAGGTGTTGAGAAAGGGAATAGAGTAGGAAAGCTGGGTAAATTTCTACTTCCTCATAAGCCTGGCGCTCATGGCAAAGCTTTGTGTTTGATTGGTATCTTAAGATATTTGACTCTTCTACCCATATTCAAAACCAAAATCAAATGCCACCCAAAAAGAATTTTGTAAAAATTACCGATTACTCAGGAATAGAAATAAAAACAATCCTCTTAATGTTGCTAATAGAAAAAGCAGCCTCATTATTAGCTGTGAGTTAGTTTAACACATTTGGCTTTAGAGAAGGCCCATTTGTTTCCTTTTTATAGTTTTCAAAATAACTTTGTTCTGCATTTTAAAAACAATGCATATTCATTTGCATTTAAAAGAGGGGGAGGCAAGTAAAGCAAAAGAAAACAAAACAAAACCATAATCCTTCCCATCCAGGGACAAATGTTTTATTTGAAGTAATAGGCAGTTCTGTAAGTTGTGACAAATACGTACAATTATAACCACAATCACAGTTAGGATACAGAATGTTCCATCACCCACCAAAATTCCCTCATACAGTCAACCCCTCCCCCTAAACTTATAAATCACTGATCTATTTTGCTGTTATTGTTTCATCCTTATAAAGACAAGGTTTAAAATCTTGATATCTTTGGTAGAGTAAGTTTTTTTTCACTTCTAGATTGTTTTATGCAAATATAAACATTCAACTCTCACACATTCTCTCTTTCACACACACACACACACACCCCTCCACACACACACACATACACACACACACACACACACACACACACATACACACCAGAAAAAAACAAAAACATGTAAGCCCCAAAGCCCAAAGAGGGCAGAAACAAAAAATATTAGTCAAGAAATATTTAATCACTACTTTTATATCAATGTGGTCAATAAAATTTTATTTTTTCACATCAATGTGATCATATAATTTTTAAAGTGTAAGCTTTTTTCTACACAATGATACAGATCAGACATCCTGTTATGTCAATAAATACAGATCTACCTCATCATTTATTTTTATTTTTATTTTTTTTAGAGACAGGGTCTCACTAGGTTGCTCAGGCTGCAGTGCAGTGGCTATTCACAGATGCCACCATTGCATACTACAGCCTGTAACTCCTGGGCTCAAGTGCCCCTCCTGTCTCAGCTTCCCAAGTAGCTGGAGCTATAAGCATTATTTCATTTTTTTAATAGATGCAGAGGTATTGTTATACGACTATACATATTTTTCATATTTGGGAGATATTTTCTATCTTGCTAAGATATTTTCTCTACCACATATGAGTTTAAAGCTTATTTTGATACTTAAAACTTGCAATTATATACCCTGTGTATGATGTTTTATTCTTTCATGAAGATACTATGACAAACTCAAGGAAGAACTTTTGGCTTGTGACTACTGGCTAATAATATTGGAAGTAACCTAGCTTCTTTGAATTATGATATCTAAAGAGATGTATGTAGAAAGCTCCTTACTTTAATAAAACGATTAAGAAAAAGGGAGAAAATACTGTAAGCAAATATGAGGAACCATTTTGAAAATGGCAACATTATCTACTGAAAACAAAACTAAATATGTTTTAATTCACAAAATACTTTTAAAACACTCTACTTTATTTTGATCTGTAAAACAACTCTGTGAGGTATATACTGCCAAACAAAGATAAATTACAATTTGAATGACCCAGTCCCAACGTCTCCAGATTCGTATACCCAATTGCTCATTCAATATCTCCATTTGATTTCCTAATAGATGTTTCAAACAAAGTTTCTCAGTTGAACTCTGAATGTCTCTTTTCCCTCAATTGATCAACTCTATTTCTCACCTCTGTAAGCAGCATAGACATTCACTTAGTTTCTCAGGCTAAACATCTTGGAGTCATCCTTGACTCCTCCCTTTCCCTTACTCCCTATACCAAATCCTGTCAGCTTCAAAATATAGCCATATTCCTACCACTTCTCATTACTTTAACTACTAATACTCCAAACCACCATCACTCTTGCCTGGCTGCTGCAGCAACTTTATAAATCTTCTCTGTTGGCACTTTTGCTCATCTTTCACCTTCAGTGTTCTCTCCAAAGAACAGCCAAAGTGCTCCTTTTATAAAATATGTCATATTACACAGCTGTTTAAAACCTATTCATTCATTCATTCATTCATTCATTCATTCGTTCATGCATTTGGAGATGGAGTCTCACTCTGTTGCCCAGGCTGGAGTACAATGGCACGATCTCAGCTCACTGCACTCTCCGCCTCCCAGGTTCAAGTGATTCTTGTGGTTCAGCCTCTCAAGTAGCTGGGACTACAGGCATGCACGCCACCACGCCTGGCTAATTTTTTATATATTTAGTAGAGACGGCATTTCACCATGTTGCCCAGGTTGGTCTCGAACTCCGAAGATCAGGCAATCCTCCCACCTTGGCCTCCCAAAGTGCTAGGATTACGGGCCTGAGCCACTGCACCCAGCCTAAAACTTACTTAGAATAAATTCCAAAGTCCTTATCATGGCTGATAAGGCCCATCTTATTTGACCCCTGGCTCCTTCTCTAACTTTATCCCCTGCCACTCCCTCCCTTGTTCACTAATCCAGCCATTGTGGCTTTATGCCACACCTTGGAAACACCAAGCATGCTTTATCTTCGAGTTATTGTACTTGTTGTTCCCTCTCCTTGGAATACCCTCCTTCAGAAATCTGCATGACTCAGCCACTAACTTTAGATCTGTGCTCAAATTGCAATGCCTCACAGAAGCTTTCTCTGACCACCCTATATAAAATAGCTGCCTTCCTTTCATCTCTGTCATTCTATATCCCCTTACACTGATATTTTTCTTCATAGCATTTATCACTACTTGACATTATAGCACATCTATTTGATTATGTGTTCATTTCTTCTCTCCCACTCTAGAATGCAATAAAATGATAATAATCACAATAATAATAGCTGAACAACCATTAAATTATTGCTATGAATGAGGAAGTCTTCTAGATGCTTAACAGGCCTTAATTCATTCAATCCTTATAGCAACTGAATGACTTAGGTACTATCATTATCCCAATTTCACAGATCAGAAAAACTGAAGCATATAGATATTAGGTAACGTATCCAAGGTCATACAGCTACTAGGTGGTAGAGCTGGGATTCAAACCCTGACAGGCAGTACCCAGAAAGTACTCTCTTAACTACTGCACTCTACTCCCTCAATGAAAGATATGAAGGCAGAGCCTCTGACTGCATCATTACTTGCTATAGTCTCAATGCCTAAAACAGTGCACACTAGGCTGTCAAAAAGCATTTGCTGAAGGAAGAAATCAAAGAAAAAAAAGAGGAAAAAAATGACCCAGAGATATACAGTTAGATATTTGCACAGTTTGGACTCAAACCTGAGGCTTCTTATTCCTTATCAAGGTTCCTCTCACTCTGCCATTGCATGGGTTTTCTCATATACCTTCTCTCATAAGATTTTCACAAACTCGTCAGGTCAAATAATTATTAAAATTATCCACACTATTATAGATGAAAATAATGGGCTTATATAGATTAAGTAACTTTCCTGAGGGTGCAGGTACCTGGCTCATATATCAACTAGTCTGTCTTAGAAAAAAACACATATTTCCCGTTTCTGAAGTTGGTGTCCTTCCTACCACTTTCTGCTGTCTCCTAAAGATAAAGAATGTTATTGGCCCACTGAATTAATCCATTATTTCTGGCTGAAATAAAAATTGGTATATTCCTCATGTGAAGTGTCAACAGGAAGGGGCTTTTAAAACTTCCTTTTGTTTCCAGGCATTAGTATCTCTACTTAGTATACGACACCAGTATTCCTAGGGAAGGCCTTGAAAAGAGGGACAGATACAAGCCTCTTCTGATAAATCCATGCTTTTCTTACCTCTACCAAGTAACAGTAAAGATGAAAATGGTAAACATCTTTACAACATTTGTCTCCGTACATATAAAATGTTTAAACACACGGGCAAAGATGGAGCAAAATATCATAGAAAATAATCTAAGCAACAAAGTCAAGAACCAAAATTCTGAGCAGTCTTTGAATAACAACTCAGTTGAAACATTTCCATGGAAACAGCAGGCTTATATGGTTATGTGCTACTTTTAATATTGAACATATTCCTTTAGGAGCTGACATGATTATCACAAAAAGGTTTTACGGTATTATAAAGAAAAAATAAGTGATAAACGGAACTGACAATTTCAGCCTGAAAAATTTTTACTGAAAACATGTCAAAAGAGTAAATAGTTTACAAATAATAATCAATTTGTTCAATCCAAAACATATTCAGCCCTTGAGAAGGTCTTGAAGATTTGCTAAATCCCGGGCTTGGAACTTTGGCAAAACATACAAAGAGTAAGTAACCTGCTCAAAGTTATACAACTGATACAAGTAGGATTTGATTTCAAATTCAGGCCTATCTATTTTCAGACTATGCATGCTTTCCATTTTGCCAATAAATGTATACAGATCACAAAAGTTACTGACCCTGGGATGTATCAACTGGAATAATTTTTTTAAAGAGGGTAATAGTTAAAGGAGGAGAAGTAAAATGTGTCAAATTGGCAGTACTAACATTACCAGTTTATTTGATAAGTAAACTCACTTAAGTAAGTCCTATAATTCCCATGTAGTAGCTGTCAAACTATTCTTGAAATGCTAAAACTTCTCATGGGTACTTAATGGACTCTACAGTCATAAAGATTTAATCAGCTAGGAGGTTAAAATAATAATTTAAAATATAAATAAATTACCTAAGAAATGCATTAATAAATTTTACCTTTATATATTATAATTTTGCCTCACTCTATTAGGGTTAAGGACAAAAATGCCCAGGCGCAGTGGCTCACGAATGTAATCCCAGCACTTTGGGAGGCTGAGGCAGGCAGATCACCTGAGGTCACGAGATCAAGACCAGCCTGACCAACATGGAAAAACCCTGTCTCTACTGAAAATACAAAATTTGCCAGGCATGGTGGCAGGTGCCTGTAATCCCACCTACTCAGGAGGCTGAGGCAGAAGAATCACTAGAACCGGGAAGGCGGAGGTTGCAGTGAGCCGAGATCGCACCACTGCTCTCCAGCCTGGGCGACAAGAGTGAAACTCCATCTTAAAAAAAAAAGAAAAAGAAAAAAGAAGGGCAAAAACAAAAACAACAGAAAACACTGTCATAGGCTAAAATAAGGCTTTTTGGTTAAGGAATATAAAATATTTCCTTTTCAGGATGTAGTTATTTAAACTCCTAAATATATTCCAGTGTTTTCTATCAGTCTATAGCTTTATGTCTATACTTCGCTTTACCTTGAAAATATGAATCAATAGGACTTAATAGCAAAATATACTGTGGTTATGCACTCAAAACAAAATAAAATAAATTCTAATCCTAAGTGTTGACAGTAAATAATCTTAGTATCAATTAGAAAGGTTTTGATAAAACCCCATAGTGCCCTGAGTGATAGAAACTACATTAAGTGAGGCATACAGCTTAAAAGTCAGTGTCTTATTATAGCCAGTTATGTCACTAAAATTGGCTCGTTGTTCCCTACAAGCCAATAATTAGTAGAGAGTAAGGAAAAATATTCCCATCTGAAATGAAAAACTACGAACATGCCAGTGTATGACAAAGGGATACTAACCAACTGGTATAAGGAAGCACAAGTATGTGGCTTTGGAATTTCAGCAGATTATAGCAGCTACTTAGTGTATGTGCGGACCCTAAAATAATGCTGTGAATCTCTAAATAAATTACAAAACGCCCTCTATGGCATTCTTAACTCAGCATGTTTATCCCTATTAAAGCTGTTTCTCCCAGTTTTTGTTAAAATTTTGGTTTTTAACAAAACATCAATAAACAAAACACTTATGTTTTAAAAAAACTGTTCAGAAAAGAAAGTCATTTTCATCTCTACTATGAATAAAATCATCCAAAGAGAGTTAAGAATGGGGGATTATCTGATAGAGAAGAAATTCTGCTTTTTAAAAAGAAAATGAGAGAAGGAAAATCCTGTTAATTTTTAGTTACAAATGATCTGTCAAACAGGAGAGAAGAAAAGTGATACCTGTACTTACTGTCGTTGGATCCCATGCTAATGAGGTCATCAGAATCAACATTGTGAACTATGGCTGCCTTGTATCCTGCTCTCTGTGCATTTAAAACCTGCAAATCAAAAAATAAAAAATCATGTTATAAGGAAGACAGTGGTTTGTCACAGTGTCCCTCAACTCTATAAATCAACAAAGTCTATACTATATACCTAGGACTAGATTATGAACATATGTAGAAATAAATCTCAGGTATGCTCTTGAAACACAGATGTTTTACAATTGATTATAAAAACCTACTGAAGTAAATAAAGGATGGGGATACAAGCTAAAACACTAAAAGGACCCAAAGTAATATATCTGTTTTGCTCTAAAGAGGTAGAAACTTGCTATAATCAGGCTTAGGAGTCACCAGACCTTGAGCATTCAATTCCCACCTCTGCCATGAATTAGTGGGATGAACTTGAGCAAATTACTTCTTTTGTAACCCTCAGTTTCCTAACCTTTTAAATGAGAATGACAATATTCTTCTCATATGTAAAATAATATTTTTAAAATGCTTAATACCATGTCTAACACATAGAAATGAGTCAGATAGAACCAATTCATATTAGCTTGATCATCCAAAATATTCTGTAAAATTCCTTTAGAAAGCTTTTTAAAAAATTAAAAATACCTGCAGGCTGAAGCTGCTTACTCTGATTCTATCTAGCTATTTGATCTTTCCTAAAGCTAGCCTCCAAAATAGTAACCTTTGCACCATAAGAATATAGTCGGATGTGTGGCAGAATTTTCTTACATGAAAGATCTGAAAAGTGTCAAAACATGTTATTACAGCTCACTTTAAAAATAATTTTTCTGTTATAAGTAAAAATAAACCCAGACCTAAACTACATATTGCATGACCTTTAGACTACCAGCAAAAATGAAGGATCAGATAGACCATTATTTGCATATTGGTTGAACAAAATAAAAATTGGGAGGGCAAACATATATATACGTAGTTTTGAATACATGAAATACTTTTGAACATATGTAGTTCTGGATACTAATTTCAGTAAGAAACTCTTGAAATACATTACCTTATGAGCATTCCATAATGGTATGTCTCAGAGTGTTTGAGTGTTAAGTGTTTTTAAGAAACAGGCATATTAATTTTTTAGAAGAATTTCCAAGTCTAATATTAGTTCCGTTTTAGTTATCAGCATTATAATGATTCAACACTCTGCAATAATTGCATAAAAATAAAACCTGAGTCATGTTCCAAAGGGTTAGGGAAAGCCCCGAGTCAAGTTCCCAAATGTAAAAAGGATATGCAATTATTCAGACTCTGGATCTGAAAGCTAGGTAAGAGAAATGAGTTCTACATATTCAACCCCAGTCAGGTCAGTTGACTTGGCACAGCGAAAAATTCTCTTCTACATTATTCCTGACTTCTCTAAAACTATCCCACCAATTCAAGTTAGATTTCTGAAAGAGACAACAGTGTGGATAAATCAGAATAATATTATCCTATTACTGAAAAAAACTAAATCTGTAGGAGATATGACTGCCCCAAGAAATTAATACTTTGTTCATCTCACAGCCTCCATAGCACCTATGAAATAGCCTGACACAGGGTAGGCACTTATAAAATATTACTTGAATCAATTAAATGTATTTTTAAAATGTGCTTAAATTAATAGCTCATATTATAACATTATAAACACAGGAGATAAAATCATGCAGAGAGTGATTTTTTTAAAAACTAATTAATATAAATTGTTTGCTGGCACAGGACTCACTACTCTAATGTAGGAATAATGACAAGAAATCAACCAGTCAACAAAACTGTGACAAGTATGTTTTAGTTGTGCAAAGAAAGGTCAATAATCAAAAAAGTAAGTTCAGCATTTTTGCATATGAGTACGTATTTTATTTTTAGGTGGATTTTGTTATCCAACTATGAATGCTGAGAAAATGCCAGTCCCCCACACCCTCTTCCCCTTAGATATCACTACTTTCCAAAGGGAGGAAAAAAATAATCTCTTAAGAATGTAGTCTGTAAACCTTGATTATTTGTTACATATATTAACTTATTATTTCTGCATGATATTACCATGGCAGTACAGACTTCACTTGGCTTTTATTTAAACAAAAGTATACTCCATTGGGGTTACTATTAGTTTATCTGATGCTTTCGTGACCATTTTAACTTTTCCCAAAAAGCTAACCAAGGAACTGAGGAGAAATGTTTCTTTCCACACCCAAAAAGTAACTGTTGCCAAAGACACAATTTAAGAAATAAAAAATTAGACCAATATCAAAAGCTGTTTCCTGCTAATACCAAACTTGTTTTAAATTTCTTTTTAAAGCCAACCAATGCACATAGTCATTGAAATTACATCATTTAACTTTTTTCCCTGAATAAAAATATGTATGAAGGCAAACATGTAACATGTTAGAACACAGAGAAAAGTGGTCTCAGAAACCACAACAATGAGTAAAAACTGTGGCTGAATTCAGCAAGTAGTTGCTGAGCTTAAAGATAACTGTATCCACACTAGACACAATGTGGAACTTGAGGGTCAATCAGAAAGTCATTATCCTTAAGGAAATTTCAATACTCATGGATAGCTAAACAGGTCGGTTGCTTTCTTGACCCTGTGTAGAAATGGCTTTGTCTTCTGAATGCCTATCAGTACTTCCAATTCCATCATCTCCATGAAGCTTGCCCTGTCCTGTACCCCTGTGCCCCATGTACCTATATTAATTGCTCCCTGCTTACAGTATTTATATTAATCTATTTATATTTTTCTTCAAGATCTTATACAGTGTCTTATACTTACACATATACATGTCATATCCCAGGGGTCCCCAACCTTTTTGGCACCAGGCACTGCTTTTGTGGAAGACAACTTTTCCACCGAGGGAATGGTTTCAGAATGAAACTGTTCCACCTCAGATCATCAGGCATTAGTTAGATTCTCGTAAGAAGCGTGCAGCCTAGATCTCTTGCTTGCACAGTTCACGAGAGGGCTCATGCTCCTATGAGAATCTAATGCACCACTAAAGATTTGACAGAAGGCAGAGCTCAGGCAGTAATGTTTGCTAGCCCACCACTCAACTCCTGCCGTGCGGCCTGGTTCCTAACAGGCACGGGACCACGGCTGGGGGCTTGGGGACCCCTGTACTATCCCAATTCCCAAACCGGTCTTCGGGGGTCCTTAAATCTGCGGTTGTCTACATATAAACTTTTCTGGAGAGAAGAGATAAAGTAATAATCTTGCAAGAGGCTTTCTCACTCTCAAATTATTAAGAATCATCAATATACATGAATGGATTTATAACAGTCTACCATGTTTAACTAAATCTAGCCATTAGGCTTTTAAAACTGTACCAAACAACTTAGGAGAAATATGTCTTTCACACATCCAAAATGCACTTAGTTCTATAAATACAGTACAAAATTATATAATATCAAAAGCTGTTCTCTGTTAATACGATGATACAACTCCTAAAATAGAAACCTTAGGAAACCACTAAAATGGGAAGAAATTCTGTAGGCCTAAGTGTGATCTCCAAAAAACAGAAGCATGTTTCAAAAATATAGCAAGTATGAAGGCTTTCCCAAGGTTTCTGTTGTTTTTATTGATTTTTAAAATAAATAAATGAAATTAAATCAAAGAACACATTAACATATGGACTAACAGGCTTATGAATACAAACAAGGAAAATACATCCATGTTTATGAACTATAAAACTCAAGTGTCAGTCAAATTAAATTACATTTTCAACTAAGCAGCAGCTGGTATTTTTAAGAACACATGAGGCAGAAATAAATTTTAAATCATTTAGTAAGCATTTGCAAAGTTTCCCATTCATAAAATGCAACCTCAAACACATGGTGTCAGATGGAAGCAAAGAACTTAAAGATTCATGAAACAAAGCATGCACAGAGAACAAATGCAAATCCAAAACAGCCATCAAAACTGAAAACTACATCATAAAGCCTTCTAAATTGTATTGGCAATCTGCCTTTTTAAGGAGACTGATCAGAGCTATTAGCTCAAATTATGGTAAATGCACTAAGTATTTTACATCCAATAAACAAATTACATGCAACTAAATTATATAGACCAGGTGGCACCGAACCAAGAGGTTTAAAGAAATAATGGAACTGCTGGCTTGTTATTATAAATAGCCAGTCTGTCAGAAGATAGCAGATTGCTAATAGAAGAGTCTTCAACAAGACAGGTTCTAAAAGGAAACCTGGGAACAACACAATAATCCATCTTATTTCTAGCCTGAACAAATTTGTAATATTGACACTAATAAAACATGCCTTATAAGAAAATAGAAATGATTATGCTGTTTAGCTGATCATGAATAGAGACCTTTTAAAAAGAAACCTCTGTGTGCTAGTGCTTTACACATATTATCCCTAATATTCAATACAACTCCACAATGTAGATATTCTTTTCTATTGCTTACAAATGAGGAAAGATGGTAAGTGTAACTACCCTAAGGTCACACTTAGGCAGAGCTGAGACTTAAACACTGCTTTGTCTGGTTAGATAGAGAAGCATGGGCTTGCCCAATGAATCAGGATGAGGCCCAGGATCATTAACCTTATGTAACATTTTACAAATGTCTAGATGGGAGGCCGAGGCGGGCGGATCACAAGGTCAGGAGATCGAGACCACGGTGAAACCCCGTCTCTACTAAAAATACAAAAAATTAGCCGGGCGCAGTTGTGGGCGCCTGTAGTCCCAGCTACTCGGGAGGCTGAGGCAGGAGAATGGCGTGAACCTGGGAGGCGGAGCTTGCAGTGAGCCGAGATCGCGCCACTGCACTCCAGCCTGGGCGACAGAGCGAGACTCCGTCTCAAAAAAAAAAAAAAAAAAAAAAAAAAAAAAAAAAAAAACAAATGTCTAGAAAGAGGAATTGAACTGAGAAAGCATCAAGATGCAGATAACATTAATCTTAAAATCTTGTGGGCAAAATAAAACCTATACATAAAACAACACAAGCCGAGAAGAAATGTGTTAAAATATTGTGGGAAGAGTTGATAGAAACTTAGAGGGAAAAAGGCTATGGGATGAAATACCTATGGCAGATTTTATGAGGCTTGAA